AACCGGGCTGGTGCCATCTGCCTCATGAAAGACTCTCCCTGCAGCTGCCACAGGAGACAGGCTTTTCACTCCCTCCCATAGTGGCTGGGCAGCGCTGCTGTGACTAACTCTTACTGGAGTTGTGCCTGAGGCCCAGACCAGAAGCAGGGCCCCCGGGGCAGCAGAGGCAGCTCCCAGTCTAGTTAAGGCTCAGATCCTGCTAGAGCCATGGAAGGAAGGGGAGCAGGGAGGAGTCTGCCCACTGACACGGGCTAGGGACGAGCACAAGGCAGCCCCTTCCCAGCCACAGCACAAGGAGGGCAGCCGGGGAAAGGGGCAGCCAGGCCTTGCCTATTGCCCCACTTCCCCCCCCGAGCACAGCAGCTCAGACCACCAGGGTTTAAGGGCTCCAGAGGCTACAACCTGACGTGTGGCTCCATGAAGCCTTGGCTGCCCTCCCCCCCACCTCTGCAGGAGAAGCACTGATGGAGGGAAATCTCTAGCACCTCACCGGGACCCAGGGACCAGAGCCTGCTCTCCCCACCTCCAGCCCCATGATCACTGGAGTGCCGAGCGCTGGCTGACCCCCTTTGCTTGTTTGTTGTAGCCATCTCCCTGCCCCAACCCCAAGCTCCTGGGGCAGGCACTGTGCCCCCATGTGTCTGTGCGGTGCCCAACACAACGGATTATGCAGGTGCAGTTGGCCTCCCGCCGTGTGGGGGCCTTGTGCCATGGGTGCAGCAGCCCGTCGCTCCGGCCTGCCAGGACTGAGCTTAGTTCCAGATCCCGAAATGTCCCCGGGTCCAATTCCAAGGCCTGGCTGCTGGCGAGGAAACTGCAATGCCGGTTATTCCTGCCCCTGCAGACCACTAGGGCCGACTCCTGAGGGACCCTGGTTTCTGCATCCCTGCCGGGGGTCCTCCACTCTGCCCCCCAAGCCACGGAGCCCCCTGCGTGGGACTCTCCTTGAGCCACACCTCCACTGCATTACAGGCCAGGGAGAGCCTTGGGCAAGGATCCCCGTTTTCCATGATAAACCCCCCAAATTCTCCGATAAAACCAACCAAAATTGGCGTTTTTCCACAATGAAAATGAAACGCTGAACTTCAGCTTCCCTAGCCGCAAGATACACAGGTGTCAGCTGAACACAATGTTCAACCCCTACCAGCAGTGCCATCCATCATTACAATCCAATCCAATGAATAGCATTGCTTACATACACCAAATACTTCCATGTCTGTATTCGACACAGCAGAACCCCGTTTAGCCGAGCCGCCACTATCCGGTGCTCCATATTAACTGAACTCCCAGCTGCCCGGGCCTGACATGTAGGGCTGGCTGCCTGAGCCCCACCGCATCTGAAAATAAGGGCTAGAAAGATCTTTGCCAGTTCTCCGGATTACCCGCATTTCTGGTGATGCGATCTGGCCCCAGTCCCCATGAGATCGGATAACCAGGGTTCCACTGTACAGGGGTTTATTTTTTCACAAAATGTAAAAACTAAAGATTCGCTGTAAAAATACAAATTCCGCGTTTTTCTGCGGCAAACAGATTTCTAGGATCCCTGGCCATGAGTGCCAGGGAGCAGGGAGCCCCTGGCTGGGTTAACAGCACCCCCTACTGGGCCAGGGAAGGCAACGCTTCGCTAGGGCTTCGGCAGCAATCTGGCAAAGGGTTTCTAGTCCCCCATCCGCCCCACACGGACCTCATAAAAGCTACAACACTCCCCCTCCCTCCCCCGCCTCTCAGCTGAAAGCAGCCGCACGCCAGTAGCAGAGGCACCATTGAAAGTGGAGCCGGGCAAAGGGAGCCCTACCATGCCATGCCCTGCACAGCCCAGGACTGCCCAGCACGGGGAACACCCTCCTCTGACACCCCTTAACCACTGAAACCATTTCCCCAGGGCCACGGGGGATGCTCCATCCCTGGCCATTCTAAATCCCGACTGGCTGTTTTTCTGACGGATCTGCTCTGGGTCATTATTGGGGGGCAGGTGTCTGGTCAGTGCTATGCAGGAGGTCAGGCCAGTTGACCACTGGGGATCTGGGAGCAGCCGGAGGCAGGATCCAGGCTAGCTGGGCCCGGGCTGGTAACGAAGGCAGTTCCTGCTCCAGCTCTGCCAGGGAGCATGAATAACCGGGATAAGGATTAGTGAGAACTAGCACGAATGCAGCGATCTCACAGTGCAGCTCTGGGAGCCTAGCTCAGCGCAGCTCTGCCAACTCCCCTTCGGCCACAAAGCCAGGTCAGGTTGCCCCAGGCTAGGCCAGGGCAATCTCAAGACATCCCAGCCCAACCAGCAGGGCCAGGAGGAGAGGAGCCGGGCGCTCTCCCAGCGGGGAGCCCAGTCTGACCCATCTCGCGGGCAGAGAGGGAAAGGGGCTTACTACTGGGAGCTGGCCGTTTCCTAAGGGGTTTAGGAGCTGGCTGGGGAACACAAGCCACAGAAGGCAGAGCCGTGGCTGGTGCTGGGAGAGGGCAGGCGGTGGGATACTGGGGGCACATCCTGACCTTCCTCTCACTCCTGATGCCTCTACAGACAAACTTGCCCAGGGAGTGCAGGAGCTTTCTTGGCTCACGGGGCAGGAAGCCTGTGTGTGTGACTGACCTGGGCAAGCTGGTCTCCACAGGAACTGGCCCCTCCTAGAAACCTGCAGTGCTACATGGGCCCTGCAGGGCAGCGGAGAACTGAGAGATTGAGCACCCCTGAGCCGCAGGGAGCTGCAGACGGGCTCTGAGAGCACTGCAAGAAAAAACTCCGCAGGCCTCTCCGCCACAGAGAAACCACGGGCTAGACACAGCCCCCACCAGCCCAGCCCCACCCATTCGACTGCCTGGCACCCACGTCTGGTGCCTCACTTCACCAGCCAATCACAGCGACGGAAGCCTCAGGGGCAGCACAGCAGAACTGGGCCCGTTCCGCCTGAGGAAAGCTGGCACCATCCACTCCATCCAACATGAAAGGTGCCCAGCACGCCAGCCCGGGCTCTGAGAGAACGTACCAATGCCCCACCTCGCCGCGGGGACCGTGCAAAGCTGAGGCCAATGCTCATCGAACACAGTCAGGGGCCATGATCCGGAGGTGGAAGCTGACGCAAAGCAGTGTCCAACCCAAGAGGAGGGGACCGCAGCCAGCACAGCAGAAGGCCTGAGTCTTCTCTTGTCTGCACCAAATTCCCCCTCCAGGACTTACAAGGAGTGACATCTGACTTACACCAACATAAGCGATAGACGGCTCAGGCCCAGGGCAGGAGGAGACAGAGACACCCTCCCGCGGCCAGAAATGAGCAAAGGCTCTGCTATGACGAGCAAGCAGGAAAACCGGGTCCCGGAGGGGAGAGAGGGCGGAGATAGCAGCGATGGGTCAGGACTGGCTGCAGGGTTAACGCCAGAGCCTGGGCAGCCTGTACTCCGGGGTTCTGTCTCTGTTACACTCTGACAGCGCCTGTAGAGCGTCTCATGCCAATGAGCCTCACTGAACTGCACTGCATGTGCGTGTGTCTGTCTCCTGAGGAGGCCCAGCGCACTTCCAAGCACCTCTCAGGTGACACAAAGGACATTGGGTCGGGGCTGGTGTAGAACTGTCCCCACACTCAACGTGCTGCAGCTGGGTTTTCGGTGCCCCCAGCAAAGCATCGGAGCCGGTCACTCTCTCTCTGTGCAGCGCCCTGGGAGCCCTTCTCAAAACCAAGCCGTGCCCTCGCCTGCCTTCGGGGACAGGGAACACGAGACGACAGCGGCCTGCCTCTCCCTGTTCCCTGCGGGCCACCAGACGGTGACTGGGATCTCAGAGCTGGGGCGAAGAGGAGTAACCGGATTAGCAATGACTGACATGACTGAGTACAGCACAAACACTAGGGGGCGCACAAGAGCTAGGTCCATTAGCTGCACCCAGCGTTTATTCCCGACAGCCCTCCAGGGACCCGCTCCAGGTTCTTCCCTTCCCAGAGCTCAGCAATGCAGAGCCCATTCCCCGGGCAGGGGGGCACTGAGGGCTGAGCCCAGAGCTGGCAGTCTGGCACTGGTGCCTCCCCATCCGCTTTCCAGTGCATCCCTACTCTCTCCCCACACTGGAGAGGGGACCCCGCCAATGGTTCGGTCTCCCCCGTTCTAGGAGCAGCGAGGCAGCTGGGAGCACAGAGCCCATGGGGTGGGGGTGGTCAGTGGGAAGCTGGGAACACGCACAGGGAATCAATTATGAAACACTTAGAGGAGAGGAAAGTGATCAGGAACAGTCAGCATGGATTCACCAAGGGGAAGTCATGCCTGACTAACCTAATTGCCTTCTATGAGGAGATAACTGGCTCTGTGGATATGGGGAAAGCAGTGGATGTGTTATTCCTTGACTTTAGAAAAGCTTTTGATACGGTCTCCCACAGTATTCTTGCCAGCAAGTTAAAGAAGTATGGGCTGGATGAATGGACTATAAAGTGGATAGAAAGCTGGCTAGATCGTCAGGCTCAACGGGTAGTGATCAACTGCTCCATGTCTAGTTGACAGCCAGTATCAAGCGGAGTGCCCCAAGGGTCGGTCCTGGGGCCGGTTTTGTTCAATATCTTCATTAATGATCTGGAGGATGGCGTGGCCTGCACCCTCAGCAAGTTTGCAGATGACACTAAACTGGGAGGAGTGGTAGATACGCTGGAGGGTAGGGATCAGATACAGAGGGACCTAGACAAATTAGAGGATTGGACCAAAAGAAACTACCCCCGTACTGTGTCCCTGAGCTCCCAGCCAGCCATCTGGTGCCCAGGACTCCAGCAGTACCTCTTAAGCCTGCTCCCGGCCTGCTCCATAGCAGACCCCCCGCACAGGGCACATCAGTTGGATGGTGGCACCACAGGGGCACAGGCAGGAGACAGCAGGACCACGGGCAGGTCAGAGGTCACGTTACCCGCATTCCTGGATCTTGCCAGCCCCATAGACGGGAGCCCTAAACGCTAAGGTCTTACTTTTCCCAGCTGTCTCCAAGAGTTTCCTCTTGCCTCTCTTCTTCTGGGGGGCGGAAGGGGCCAGCTCACCCTCATCGGCCGGGGGATCCGGGCTGTCCTTCGGGGTGCAGCGCCCATTCTCCAGGGCCTGGCCCGTCTCGCTGTCTGGGAGGCTGTCTGTCTCATCCTCGCCATGCTGCCCGCCCTTCAGGGTCCCGTCGCTGTCCTCTGGGCCTTTCCACTGGGCACCGTCTGTCTCCAGGTCTCCATTTAGCACCTGTTCCGTGGAGCCAGCATCCTGGCAGGGGGGGTGGCACTTTGGGACTGAGGCAGTGTCTTTGGATGCTTCACTACTTTCCACCTGCAGAGACAGAGAAAGGGAGAGGCTGAGAGCCCTGCTCCGGGCTGCATAGGCCCTCGGGCCACCTTCGCCAGCACCGTCACCCAGCCTTATCTGCCCTCGGTGCTCCCCAATCTGGCCCCCAACGTGCCCCTTGATCCATGTCCCACGTGCCCTCACTTGATACGGTCCCCGAAGGATCCCCAAAGAGCCCCCTTGGCCCAGCCCCCAGTCTACACCCTTGTGCTAGAGCTGGCCTGTGCCCTCATTGGCACATCCCAGTCCTCTCCGCCGCGTGTCCACCTGCCCCCTGGCTCCTCCTTCGGGGGGTGCCCTGTTCACTGGCACTCTGCATGAGTCACCTACCCTCTGGGAGGGCTGAGCCTTGGGGTGGCCACGGCACCGTGCATCACAGTCCTGCCCCGCAGCCCCACGTACCGCACCAGAAAGGGCCCGTCAGTGCCCTCTAGTGCTGTACAGCTCCCAGAGTGCCAGAGAACCCAGTGCTGCAGGGGTTAAAGGCACTCTCCCAGCAGTGAGCCCCCTGCATTGTACCGAGCTTGGGGGACAGGACTGCTCCTAGCTAGAGGCAGCAGATCAATAGACTATCGACCCCCCCACATACACACACACTGCACCCCAGAGACATCTCCTGGGGCCTGCGTGAAATCCTTCCCCAGTGCTCCAAGACTTATTGAAAATCAACACTAACAGTTCAGTGATCCCCAGTCAGCTCTTTTAAAACTCTTGAATGAAAGTAATCTGGTCCTGCTGGTTTAAAATGCCTTACTTCTGTTTAACATCCTCCAGAGATACCATTGGAATGGAAAGAGTGTTATCATCACCATATGTTTCAGGCTCTTTTCCTACTACAAAGATAAATGGGATGACCCAGGAAATTGTAGACCTGTTATCCTGCCATCAATCATGGGCTGTGACCAAAAGGGCGAATGTGATCCCTGGATGCATAAAGAGGGGAATCTCACGTAGGGGTAGAGGGGTTATTTTACCTCTGTCTTTGGAGCTGTGCGACCACGGCTGGAATCCTGTGTCCAGCTCTGGTGGCCACAAGTCAAGAAGGATGTTGGTAAATTGCCGAGGGGTCAGAGAAGAGCCACGAGAACAATTAAAGGGTTAAGAAAAAAGCTTTATAGTGATGGACTCAAGGAGCTCAGTCGATTTAGCCTCACAAAGCGAAGGTGAAGGGATGTCTTCATCCCAGTCTATAAGCACCTACACGGGGAACAAATCTTTGATAACAGGCTCTTCAATCTAGCAGAGAAATGTCTACCAGGATCCAAGGGCTGACAGCTGAAACTAGACAAATTCAGACTGGAAACAAGGAGTACATTTTTGATGGTGAGAGTAATTATCCACTGGAACAATTTACCAAGGGCCACTCTCCATCACTGACCACGTTTCAATCAAGACTGCTGTTTTTCTAAAAGAGCCGCTCTGGGAATGGTTCTGGGATAGGTCTCTGGCTGTTCAAATGGGAGTCAGACTAGATGATCATTATGGTCCCGTCTGGCCTTGGGATCCAGGGCTCACCCCAGCCTGAAGCTGGTCACACGGGGCGCAGGCTGTCACGGAGTGTGGGGGACACAAGGCCCTGCACCCCCGGCTTCCTGCGATTCACCATGACTCTCAGCCAGCCAGTAAAGCAGAAGGTTTATTTAGACAACAGGAATACAGTCCAAGACAGGTCTTGCAGGCACAGACAACAGGATCCCCTCAGTTAGGTCCATCTTGGGGTCCCAGGGCACCCCAGCCCCCTTGGGAGGTCAGAGCCCCGTCTGCCTCCCAGCCATGTCACCAGCCAGCTCTGAAGTCCCTCTCCCCAGCCTTTGTTCAGTTTCCGGGGCAAAGGTGTCACCTGGCCTCTAACCCCTTCCTGGGTTCTCATGTTACATGCTCAGGTATTCTCCCTCGGCCAGTCTCCCATCCCCCCATGCAGACCATCCTAGCCACACTCCCCACTCAGCCTTCAAAGACCACATTAAGAACAGTCCCAGTTCGTCACACAGGCAAGAGGCCTCCAGTGACACGCAGAGGGGGGCCCTGGCGAAGGGAGCGGGCAGTGCGGGGCGGCGTGCCCTCTGCCCCATTCTGAAGCATCTGTGCCTCTGGGGGCTGGGACCACCCGACACCAGCCTGCAGAGTGAGTTGCAGACCCTGTTCCCCTCCCCATGCCCACCTTGTGCAGGAAAAGGTCAGGCTTGGGGAGACCAGGCTCATAAATACTGTACAGCCCAGCCCAGCCCATGCCTGGGACACCGCACCCAGCAATTATTCACCTGCTGGGACGCAGGGGGAAGGGCAGGTGCAGGCTGCCAGGTCTGTAAATACACCAGCCCCCTGCACACTGCACCACGGCTGGGTGACACCCCTGCAGGGGTGGGAGGGTGCACACACCCAGAGCTCACTGGAACCCTTCTGATAGCACACCCCAGCCTGCACTCCTTCCTGCCCTGCTGGGCCTTACAAATCAGGGCCACGCAGGACCCGTGCACCCAGCCCCACCTGGAAGGAGAGCTGCTCAAATGGCTAATGGGCTCAGAGAAGCCAGAGCTGGGAAAGGCCCCTCAGGCCAGGATTGCCCAGTTTGTTCTCTAGGGCTCCATCCAGTCACCAGGGCTCCCAGCCCTTCCCCAGGAGACAGCCCCAGAGCCGGCGCTTCCATTTAGGCGACGGCTGCCAGGATTTGGGGGGGCGGCAATTTGGCGGCTGGGGGTCCTTCCGCGCTCCGGGTCTTCAGCGGCAATTCTGCGGTGGGTCCTTCACTCGCTCCGGGACCCGCCGCCGAAGTGCCCCGAAGACCGGGAGCACGGAAGGACCCCCCCGCCGCAGAATTGCTGCCGACGACGAGGAGCGCGGAAGGACCCCCGCCTACGGTGCCAAAAACCCTGGCGCCGCTCCTGGACAGCCCCCAGCCAGGCCCATTTCCCTGCCCAGCATCTCTCCTGAGCCCAGACTAAGTTCAAATCCCCACCCCCACCCCAGTTACACCCCCTGCACCCCTCTGGAAAAGCCCCACGTTCCAGGCAATTGATCTCACTTGGAAGGTGAGAATTTGTCAGACACAGCATGCAGGGCTGCCCTGAAATCCAGCCAGCAAACCCTTGGACTCTGGGCACTCATCCTGCTGTCTGGAGACCCCCCCCCCGCCCCCGCTGCCTCGTGCACACCACTCCATCTCCCTGGAGATGTTCCAGGAGTCTGCCCCGTTATTTTACTCCCTTTACTCCCTTCCCGTGACTTGTCTTCTCCCATCGTAAAAACCATCCTTGGCCCAGCCCCTCACCTCCAGGCTCACTGAGCGTGAGACGTCTACAGCTGCTGGCTTCAAGTCCTCTGCTCAAACTCTATCCCAGCCCCACTCCAACCTGGCTTCTGCCCCATGCCCTCCACTGACACCCCCCCCAAAGATCTCCAATGACCTCTTCGGAGACCAACTTCACAGCCAGTGCTCCACCCCCAGCCCCTCCGGGCCATGGCTGGCTGCCTTTAACACGGCCGACCACCCTGCAATGCCTGGGCTTCCGTGAGCTTCCTCCTCCCTTCGGTGTCTCATCTGCTCCACTCTCCTCTTACGGGGAGGGTCCCCTCAGGGCTCCATTCTTGGCCCCTCCTCTTCTCCCTCTACACTGTCTCTGGGGGGGGTGTCTACGCAGCATGCAGAAGGAAGCCTCCCAGCCCGGCTCACGCGGGCACTCTAAAAACAGGGCTACAGAGCCTGAGCTCCAGCCCGAGCATAGCATCAAAGCTCGGTCTACCCAGCTCTTTTGAGAGCACTAGCCCACGCCCTGCTAGCCCAAGCCTGACCCAGGCTGACAAGCTCATTTCCGTGGGCTGCGCAGACACCCTGGGCGATCTCAGCCACAAACATGGCTTTGGCTTTAACACCTATCTTTAAACTGATGACTCACAAATTCACAGCCCGCTCCAGCCCTGTCTCCCTCCCTCGGTCCTAAGATCTCAGCCTGTCTCTTGACTGTCCTCCCGCGGGTGTCCAGCTGCCACTGAAACTTAACACAGCCACAACAAGGCTCTTGATCTCTCCCGGCACCCTCCCCTGCCTCCTCTAGCCTGGCGAATGGCACAACCAGCCTCGCTGCTGCTCAAGCCTGAATCTTGGCTTCCTCTCTGACCCACGCACCTCGCACCTCGGCTGTGTCTGCAACTCCCCGCCCTCACCCAGAACGAGCACCATGACAAGAGCAGTTTGGTCTGTCAGGCTCTCCATGGTCTCAGCCTGGCCCTGAACCATGGGACTCCAGAGCCAGGTATGCGCGTGCAGCGTGGGACAGGCAGCCCCGTGACCTGAGCTCATAGACTCGTACCCCCAGCAGGGCTGCAGCGCCCATTAACTCTGAGCTCCCTCCAGCAGCGCAGGCCAGAGGGGATCTCCGCGCAGCCCGGCGGCCCTGGCAAATCTGCCACTCTGCTCCCCAGCAGGCTGCCTTGCTTGGTAACGCCGGCCTGTCCCGTCACAGCAGGGTAGCCGTGGGCATGAGCCATGCAAACAGCCCCCTGCACGGGAGGCCCCAGGCCTGCAGGGATGAGCTGCACCCATCTCCCCCCAGCAACTGGGAACCAAACGACCCCCGATTCCCCCTCTCACGCTGGGAGCCTGCCAAGCGTGCAGCCCTGCTGCACCGGCCTGCACCTCCGGGGGCTAGAGGGTAGGACTAGGCGCTGCTGTCCCAACACCCTGCCGCAGCCCCAGGGAGCCCAGGAGACTCAGCGCCCCCCAGCCAGTCACAGCTTTGCACGGAGCCCGGCTACCCCTCCCCCTACTCCTGACACCGGGGCCCAGGAGCAGATCCAGCCACCCCAGCTCCCCACAAAGCGCCCTCTGCTCCTGGCCTGAGGAGTGAGCTGTTAATCCACCGCGCTGCGTCAATGCTGAGCCCGCTGGACCCCAGGGCTACACCCAGGCCGGTTCCTCACATCCCCCGACCCAGCAGCCTGGGGGACAGGAGCCTCCCCCAGGGACCAGGGCTGTCCCAAGTGGGGGG